GTTGCAGCCATCATTGTTGTTTGGTGGGCCAGGGCTGAACCCGCACCTTTGTGGCTGGCACCTTAGCCACTTGAGCCACAGGCACCGAGCCTATCTTAGTATTTTTTAACAGCTCCATCACATGGATCAGCCAGGTTTATTTTACCAAATTAACATGGCAGTAAACATCTAGTTCATATATTTTGGCATAGGATCCTTTCTGAGCACTTGAATTGCTGGATCAAAGTGCATTTAAAATTTTGAAAGATACTTTCCATCTAAAGATAAGAACGGTTTTTACTCCCATCAACAGAGAGCACAACATACTGGTTTTCCCATGCTCTTGCCAATGTTAACAAACTAGTTTTTTTGTTTTTTTAATTTTTACAATTCTAGTAAGTAAACAAATATTTTTAAGGAAGGGAAATACATGAGTTTTTAAAAAAATGTTCTGTGGGATTAGAAAATTTTTGAAAAGGCAAGGAACAGAATATTATTGGAAAGGCAAGTATTCTTACCTTTAATTCTTTTTTTGTTTGTTTGTTTTACATATTAAGAGATGAAATTGGGCTGATCCCATGTCCTGAAGCTAGATATAACCGGAGTCCCATAGTCCTGGTTGAAAACAAACTTGGTGTGGAGAGCTGGTGTGTCAAGTTCCTTTTACCATATGTCCACAACAAGCTCCTTTTGTATAGAACGAGAAAACAATGGCTGAACAGAGATGGTAAGTATGAACAGTATCCTCTTCCTTTGGTTTTTAGAAGCAACGGGATACAATAGGAAGAGCCTTTATCTCAGTGTTAGCATCCCTGGATTTTAGTTCTGATGCATACTTCACTGCCTGGGTAGGTGCTTAACCTCTCTGCCAAGTGAGGCATTTGGACTAGAGGTATAATTTTCAAATTTTGTGTCCATAGTGATTATATGGAAATGGCTCAAGCAGGAGTCCAGGCCCCCTCCTGCAGCCAGAACAGTTCTGATTTTATCTGTTTATTATTGGGGTCATTCGTAAGAGTTTATTCAAATAAAACATCCTAATGAAGGCTTTAAAAAAGTTAGAATGTCAGTGAAGAGGACTCTAGTCCATATGGGCTCAGTCTCTGATTTCTAATCCTTTGGTATTTTATCACTAATAGAACTCATTTTTGTAGCACTCCAAATGAGGTGAAAGGCATGATAGTGGTAGTTGTACTGTGAACCAGCCTTGTGATCTATGAATGTGCCATTGCACTGTGAATCCAAATTGAGCTTTGGCTCTTCGTGCCCTGTTTCTGCGCTGAAATGAGCAAAAGAAATTCATCCCAGCGTTCACTTCTTTGAGAAATTCCTCTGGAACAGTTCTTTACTACATCAAACAACCCCCAGTCATTCTTCTTGGTTTCTTTTCTTAGTGTTCCAGCATAGTAAGCCTCTGTGTGCACAAATTCTGTTTATCATTTTAGGCTCACCTGAGGTCTCACTTCTGGGGAGAGTCCTGGTCTAAGACTGTGTCCTCTGCTGTTTTTGTAGAGGTTCCTCCCCTGCTCACATACAGCAGTACCTTTAGAAGTGCTCAGTATTTCTGGAGACTGATTTTCAATAAGAACCATGTTTCCTAGAGAATTTTAATTGCCAGTTTAGTAGCCATTACCTAGGGCCTACTTATACCAGACGCTGTTCTGAGTACTGTGGGGGATAAAAAGATGAATAATGCATGGTTCTTTTATTCAAGTAGCTTGCACTTGAGTGACAAACAATCTCTTTGGGGGTGGGAGCTATGGAGAAGAGTGTTGCCAAAGAGATGACATATTGATTTCCTTGAATTTCTCTCTGAGCTGTTTCCTTAACACTCTGCCATGATAGGTTAATAGCACTTTCCCCTATTTAGAGCATGGAAAAGGAGTCTGATTTGAAAATGTAAGAAGCAGTGGTTTCTATTTTCTGTGTCTGATTGTTAACCTTACTTTGTCTTCTGACATATATTTCTTAATTAGAATGCTGTGCCTAAGTTTATGGCATAAACTTTAAGGCATAAGTTTAACATAAATTTAAGGGTATTTATCTGTTGTTGGTCTCTCTTTGATTCTCCATTCTATCATTATGTCTTAGGGTTCAGTAACACTGGGGTAAAAAGTAACAACATATGAATCTATCAAGTTATTTTTTTACCCAATAAAGCTATATTGTTTGTAGCCTGGTACACTGAAATGTATAACTGAGCCAATGCATAACTGACTTCAGCAGGGAAATAAAATGATTATCTTAAAGAGAAGGAACTATAAGAATTTTGGAATATGAAAAGCTGCAGGTACCTATTCATGCATGGTAGGTAACTCAGCCCATCTTCCTGTGGCCTTCCAGTTCCCCTTTTCTTGTCCTCTGGGACAACATACTAGGGCTTTGCTGTGTTTCCCCCCGATATAGATTTAGTCTTAATAGGCCCCAAAGACAGAAGATGCAGAAGATGAAATGGTTAAGCTTACTGATGAATAGCTGGCATCTAAACTTTAAATTCTGATATAACTGTGCATGTGTACAGAAGCAGCTTTTGATTTTATTCTAACACGGTGTTAGAATCTTTTTTATCTCATAGCACACTTGAACCTATAGTTAAACTTCCGCAGAACAGTTAAATTATATTGATCAAAAAAAAAAAAAGAATATAGTTACTGTGCTTTGAACTTTTTCTGAAAATAATTCGTGATCTTTAAAAATTTTCGCAGTCCTCTCACAGCTCACCAGTGCACTGCAGCACACCAGTTGAAAATCACTATTCTAATCTATATATCCTCATGGAAGCAGTTTTCAATTTCACTTTTTGGGAAGAGGGTGGGGAGAGCATAATTGAGTGCATAGGTAACTGTGGTGTCACATACTACTCAGGTTGTATATATTAATCAAAAATAAGGAAGTGACCTAGTTTGGTGAAAGATAATTGAAACTGCTGACTAATATAAGAATATTCTGCCAGATTTATGAACTGAAGCAGTTAGAAGACAGAAGTGAATTTTGCTAAGAAAACATTTCAATATTAGGAAAAAAGTTATTTCATGAAAATACTATACCTCAAAAACCATTTTCATAAAAAATATTATACATATAAAAAGAGCCAAATGAAGAAAGCTGACAATTTGCAGGACAGTTTCAGAAGGTCAGTGTCTGTGTGGTTGGTCGTGCCAGAATTCCAGTCATCTAGCTAAGATTCTATAACTGAAGGTGGACTTTACTCCTGGGGTAGATTTTTTTTTTTCTTAGGGTAGATTTTTTTTTTTTTCTTAATAAAACCAAATTCATGTTCTCATTAGCCAGCTGATTTCTTAGATGATAGAAAAACATCCCTGTTTACTAAGGATTTGGTGTTTTCAGATCTACTATAGTAACAGCCATATTTGGTTTGGGAAAGGAATCGTATAATAATTCTGATTTTTGAGAAATCTAGGACAGATACAGAAAGCAGGATAGAAGACTGCAGCATTGGAGTACTGCTGGGGCAGAGCTCTCTCCCATATTCTCTTCAAATGGGCTTCCTGTCATCTTTTTCTTTTTCCTATCTCTTTTTCACGGCCTTCACTTAATACCTAACTGAGCTGTCTCTTTAAAAGCCATCTTCTGCTCTCCATTTCATTGTCTGACCAGGCCTTCATTATTTCTCATCTGGACAAATGTTATTACCTTATAACTCATCCACACCATTTTCATGTTCTTCTGTGATCCATGTCCATAATGTTACTAGCCAATTGTTTCAAACACTTCCCAACAACATTTTCAAAAAGCAATGTGAGAGATGCTTTTCTGAAATATGTATCTGTTCATCTTATTTCATGATTCCTGTGGGGTCAGTATAGAGTTCAAATTCCTTCGCATGGTATTCAAGGCTCTTCATAGTCTGTTCCCAGCCTCTGTCACCGTCCTTGTTTGTTTGTTTTATATTCAGTTTCAGAGGTTGCAAAGTCTCATCCCCTAGGCTGAAGGAAGCCTGTCTACAGATACATTTTGTTTTAGCTTGTATAATGTTTTAAAAATAGTTTTTAATTAGTTGGATGCATGCTTAAAGTCAGGATGAAAATCTGGAAGTCTCTCTTCACTTGAGAAGTCAGGCAGCCTAGGTGCACAGCTTTCTGAATGGTAACAGTTTGCTAGGGCTTACAGGCTCTACTTTTGTTAACTGGGCAAGTCTCTTCCAGTTTATCACAGTCTTCTCACAGCCTTCAGACACTGAGGTAGGGTGTCAGTTGGGACTTCTCATCAGATTTGCTTTGCTGCTTTTTTGACATTCATTTGAACCCATTTGATAGATACAGCCACAACCTGTACTATTTCATGCTTTGACTTTGCTGTGCACTGCTGCTTGACTTTCATGCCCCAGCTGAGGTCAGGTTCATATCTTACATTGTCATTCTTGGTGTGGTTACACACGCACCCAAACACTGTGAAGACTGTGACTGCTTCAGAAAGCAATAAGGACTCTCTGTTCTCTTGTGGGAGTAGTTTATTCAGACTGCATATAGTAACACATCACACTATATCATAGTTGATAAATTAAAAAACTTTTTCCTGGCTTTATTGTGAGTTTGTGAGGAGCAGGGATTATGGCTCATCTTTTCTTTGTTTGCTTAGCATCTTTACATGTTCAACAAACATTTGTCAGGTGAGTAACAAAAGTTTGACAAGCAACAGTTTTTAGCTTGGTCTAGGTATTGAATCAGTGACTGTGTGCTGTAATAAGTAAGGCCTGTCTGGTGTTCACCATGTCTCTGGGAGAGACTAGTCGAACCCAGTGACCATTACCAGGTGCCTGCTGGCCTTGGGCTCTTTCTAGAAGGCTGTGTGGCAATGAAAACATTGATTTTCTTTCTGACTTCTATAGCATCCTTTTATCCTCTCCTTGTTGTGGTTGGTATTTAGCTAATTTCCTACATATAATGTGCCCTGATTCATTTTCTCCTTTTAATGTGATGATGGGTTAGTCATATCCTGACATGTGTGTAACAAAGGAACATTTATTTGCTGGCATATGCTCTGTTGTTTGGAGAGAGATTTGTTTAATTTCAAAAAACTATAGGGATTTTGCATATCTTTTTGATGAAATTACAGAGGTAGTGGTATATAGTTGAAGAAATTTAGAGAGTAAAATAGTTACAGTCACCTTTTGAGTGTTCATGTTTATTTTCGGTCTTTAGATTTAGTAGTTTGTCAAAGTTTTAAGTCAGTAGGTAGCACTGATGGTTAAGAGGCATCCTTTCCCAGTATCATTTGTGGAGCTGGGCTGGGAGATACAGGCTTTGTAACTGGAATTACCATTCAGTGCTTCTGTGTGTCAGATACTGTCTAACACTTTAGGGGTTTTAATCATCTGATATCCCTACGATAGCTTCATTTTATATATGAAGAGGACACTAAGGCACAGAGAAATTAAGTGATTTTCCTAAGAACTCCCAGTAAATGGTGGAGCTGCCCTTTAAACTCAGCAACTGCTGTTGTCCGTCTAGGACAAACCTACCAGTAAAGGAAGCTTTTTTTGTTGGTTTGGGGTTTTTTAGACACAGTCTCACTTTATCACCCTCACCCTCCATAGAGTGAGTGCTGTGGCTTCATAGCTCACAGCAACCTCAAACTATTGGGCTCAAGTGATTTTCTTGCCTGAGCCTCCTGAGTCTCTGGGACTACAGACTCCCGCTGGGCTATTTTTGGAGACAGGTCTCACTCTTGCTCAGGTGAGCTCAAGCGTCCAACTGCTCCCTCAGCCTTCCTCTTTCTTCACACATCCACAGAAGGAAAAGCGAGACTTAAGTGTTTTTTGTTGTTGTTGTTGTTGAGACAGAGCCTCAAGCTGTCCCCCTGGGTAATGTGCCGTGGCATTATAGCTCACAGCAACCTCCAACTCCTGGGCTCAAGCGAGTCTCCTGCCTCAGCCTCCCAAGTAGCTGGGACCACAGGCGCCCGCCA